CTAATCTAAAAACCACCACTCTAAAAATGATGCACACACAAACATTTATCACTGTCCCTTTTACCTCACACTGGGCAGAACTTCCTTGCCTCCATTCTTACCCTCATCCTTCACATAAAACCTTTGCAGATTTGTTGGGTTTTTTTCAATGCTGGATTCAGGTGAAGATTAAAGGAAGAAGTAATGAGAAGCAGTGAAAAGCACATTTGAGATGCTGTGCCAACCCCTAGATACCCTTCTGTTTGTCAATTCCCCTACTGCCTCTACTATCCAAATCTTTAGGTTGACTTCATTTTGTTATCTACCTGAAACCCCACAATTAAAGGACCATTTGGACTAATAAGAAGTAGCTTTTAAAATGCAAATATTTGTGTGTGTGTGTGTGTAGGAGAATGCCATGTTAACAGACTGTTAATTATTCTGACGATGGCGGGGTACTGGTCAACCCAAGTCCTTTCCTTGCTGGCAGGCGGCTGAAGCTAACTCTACTGAGACCATACTTCTATGGTTTGTTTGAATGGGAGGAGATGGAACGTGGAGTAGTAGACGTGGGGAGAGGTCAGAATATGGCGCCAATGTGTTCACCCCGGTACATGTGGCACCTTGAGAGGTGCTTGTTCCATTAATGGGCACTCTAAATATTTGTTGGATGAGTGACACAAAGAACGACTATTGAAGTATCCTTGTAGAGCCCACTAGAAGGTGGTTTTTGAGTCTTGTAAAAGTGTGCTGACATAGCATAACAACTTCCTCTCACCTTTGCCAAGATTTCCTGAGTAGGACTCCTTGTCTTCTTCCTTTTCACCTTTGTCAGTCCTTGCTGGCCTTGATCTTGGAGATTGTCTGATCTGTTGCTCTCACTGTCAGTAAACCGTTCACTCCCTGTAACCTGCACTTGCAAATGAAGAACAGCAGCCTCTTTCAGGAAAAGGATGGAATTTTAGGAATATAGGGAAGGCAACTACTGCTTGATTCCTGGAATCTTACATAGATCTCCATTCCTTAGCTCAAGGTTTCATCATATTTGGTAATACAGCAAAACAGCACTGGACACTTGGGCTCTAGCATTTGCTTTGTCCTAAATAACTAAGTGACATGGTGCCAAGTACTTCCTGTACCTTGCTTTTCTTAGAATTCTCCATTAGTCCCTTTAGAACTGAGCACAGTGCTTTCTGTACAAAGCAAATGTTCAGAACCTTGAATTATCTTTATGTAGAAAGGTTTCAAGTGATGTCATTCCACTAGATTTACTAGGAACATTAGTAACAATGTTATATTACTTATTTTGGAAGTAAGAGCTTCAAGGCAAATATGAGTAGCCTATTTCTACTGTGTCTCTCTTGAAGTTTGATGACCCATTTAATTAGAATGATTACAAGTATGCATGGAAAGGAAGTTAAGCTGGTGGAAGAACTAATGATTTTGGTCAAACAAGGAGTTGTTTGCAACCTTCCTCAACAGACAGAAGCTGGATTGGGGAGTGTTCCATTCTTACCAGCAATGTCTCCACATTCTGATGATTTTGTGATGGAGAAAGTGATTCAACCTTTCAGGGTGCCAGTGTCCTCATCAGTAAATGACAGGTTTGGACTGGATGATCTCTAAAGCCAAATAGACAGTTAATCATTTTTTCTTTCCTTGAACTTATTCATTTATTCGGAAACAATTCATTGAGGGCATACCATGTGCTCTGCATGTGGTACTGGGGATACGGCAGTGAGCAAAACGGACAAACATGCCTGCCCTGTGGAGTTTACATTCTAGATGGAGAAAGACACACAATAAACCAGTCAATTAATCAAAAATATAATTAAGTACACATATATGTATATTTCAGAGGGTGGGAAGTGCAGTAGAGGGAGAAATATGAAAAGAAGGGGAAAGGGAAATTCTAAGGCAGAGTGACCTTAAAATGATGTGGTCCGGAAAGCCATCTAGATGTGAATACTTCCAGGGGGATGGAGTTGGACTTACCTAAGGAAATCCCGTGTAACTCTCTTGGAGACCATATTTTCCGTGGAAAGTTTTTCTTAGCCAAACACATCTTTGACTTGATTTCATGTATCTATCTATCTTTCATGTATGATTTGAAAACTTGAATTATAATTTATCCACAATAAAAAATGCACAGCCTTAAAGGTCGGTTTGAGGAATACTGACAGTCACAGTTACCTGCATAATGACTAGAAAAAACAAGGTATAGAACATTCCTATCATTCCGAAAGTTCCATCATTCCTCCTTCCAGTCAACTACTCGCCCCCTCCCACCCACGTAAAGCAATTTCTGACATGTATAATCAAAGGTAGTTTTGCCTGTCCTCAGACTTCATGTAAATGGAAGCATAGAGTATGTAGTTTTGCTTTCTCTCTTCTCTGTGTCTGCATGATTTTGAAGTTCACCCGTGATGCTTTGTGTAACAGTATTTTGTACCTTTTTATTGCTGAGTAGTATTCCATTGTGTAGATTTACTTGGTTTTTAAATAGGGGCTTTGCATGAATGAGAGACTTTTTTTCCAAATATGGATCAGAATCTTGCCACCGAAAGGGAAAATGTAAAACTACAGGATGGAACGATCTGCATGGCAACCTCACAGCTGGATCACCCATCACATTTCTCTTGTTTTAACGATGTACCTTTAACTAGTATCAGTGGGTTTCTCCCTCCCTCTGAGTGTCAACAGGAGGCTCCACCCTTGTCAGTGTCTTGGTCTTACCCTCCAGGCACCTGGCTATTTCAGGCTCTCACTCTTGGGGGCCAGACCCACCAGGTCTTTCCTATCACCGCCAATCCACTTTCTTAGACGTGTGATCCACCAGCCGCTTCCTTTGCCCAGGCACCTCTACATGCTGCAGGGTGGAGCCGCAGTCCCAGGTCCTTGGCTGTAGGTACCTGGCACCAAGGAGTTTATGTTTATAGTTAACCAGGTTGAAGAGATTTCACCTGGGCGCCTCCTTTAGCTCATGGCTGTTTTCTCATCATCCCACTTGCTGCTTGGATTGTCAAGACAGGCAGAGTGGGATATCTGAGGCTAGCAGGGAGGGAAACTGCTCATCTTGGGGCTTGTCTTTGAGAAGCAGCTGATATTCCTTTTGATCAATTACTGAACACTGAACAGAGCAAGCCTGGGTGGCCTGAGGAAGTGTGTAGGATGTGAAAAAGGCATGCTCTATGGGTGTCTGGAGGATACGTAACTTCAAATGCACAATTTTAACAAAGTGATAAAATAAAAGATTTTTCTAGAGAAACATACTGCATTCTGAAGGGTGACTTGGCATGGTCAAGTCCAGTTAGCTGCTGCATGGCCTCTTGCAGCTATTACTCTGCATTCCTGAGGCAGTGAAGAAGGCCATTACCGCCAGGGAGAGGCCTGGGATTAGCCAGGTGAACTTGGCTATCACCACCTGTCTTACGCTCCGTTCATTAGTTTCTTTAACAGTTTGCCTCAGCTATTTACACAGATAGGATTCCTGTCCAGCAGGGAGGAAAGTGTCAGGGTAAGCAAGCCATGGTCTGGAGCCGGAGGGTTAGTTTTATCCGACCATTCTTTTCTTCCCCATGATACAAAGGTTCTTTCTCCTCTTTTGAAAATCAGGCTTTCAATGGATGACTCCATTGTGGTACATTCCTATAGTAAAATAATATGTGACAATGAAAAGTGAGTAAACTAGAGCATGTATCAAAGTGAATATATCCCAAGAAGTATGGAGTTAAAAAAGCCCACAAATTATACATGTACAATAGGATACTACTTATGCAAAGTGTTAAATATGCAAAATGATCCTGTATATCGTCTAGGGAAATTTACATTTGTATAAGAGTACAAAAATATGCTCTAGGATGATAACCTCCAAATTCAGAAGCCGGGTTCCCTCTGGTGGGTGTTTGGACAGGAATGCATTTGGGAGGGGTACACAAGGAACTACAACTATGCTTGTACTAGTTAATTTTTTAAGCTCGGTGGTGACCCCCATATTCTATTAAACATAGAATAGAATTCAACATATTCTATATTGTTATTCATCCTTTTTTGTGTATTGAAACATTTTATAATAAATAAACAAAAATTAGTCATTACAATAAGATTATAATTGGTTTTTATTCTCTATATCATTAAACTTCTAATATTCATTCATTTTCACCAGTTGCCAAATTACAGATTTTGGCTGAGAAATGAAGTTTAGGGGGGTGTTTTTTGATTTCAAAACTTGTAAGTGTTGATGAATTTTTCTTAGAAAGCAGGTTTACTTTCTGAAACAAATACATGGTATTATGTCAACCTAATTAATGATGGGGAACACAGGATTTTGAATAAATGCCGCTATAACCCTTTTTTTCAAAAAATTCTATAATTTATATATTAATTGATGAAGTATTTATTAAGACTACCATGTTATTGCACTGGGGTAAGTATCATGGTGGGTGGAGATGGAAAAAAATTTACGTAACAAAATGTAGAACACAAAATGAAAAGTAGAAGAATTTTAGCCAGTTTCCAAAGAGGAAATGCATCAAAGTACGATGCGCATAAACCCACTGGGAGCAGCTGTACTAGAATGAATGAATGTGGTTTGCTGAGCTATTTCAGCCCTGTCCCAGCCTGGAATGGGGTGGCAGGAGCTGGACTTGGGTCAGGGCCTCCTGTAGCTGAGATCAAACCTCTCAAACTCCATCCAGGCCCATGTGCATCCTTTCCTGGATTCCCAATGATATGAATCCAGGATTCATAAGGATCCCCTCCCCCTCTCCCCAGCCTGTTCCAGAGCTGTGGGTAATGCTGACATCTGGCACGCATGAGAATGCAAGGGGCACCTTATGAAAATGGAGATGTAAAGCCAGAGGAAGAGAAATGATGCAATTTCTTTCCCAGCTAAGGAGAAGGATAGCAGGAATGAACGAGGTCTGGGAAGAAATTTATATTAGGGGATAAACAAATGAGTTTTGTGCCCACCCCTTTCAGTCTCCTCAATGCCATGTTCATTTCTCTTTTTTGATTACCAGGTAGTGCTGTCCTCAGTCTCTTGGGACATACTTCTTTCCGGATCTGGCACAAACTACCCCTCAGGGCTTAAAGACATGCAGATGACAGATGATCAAGGTATGCATGTCTTAATCAAGCTGCCGTATTCGCCCATCTAAAGAGCTGTTTAAAAAACACATCTAGCAGGTCTCAGCCTCCAATATTCACATCTTATTTACTCCAACTTTCACTTTTGAAAAATCTAAAGACATTCTCATGCAGGCTGTGACCAAAGGAAAGGGCAAGCTAAAATTCCCTCTGCAAGGGAAGGACATTTCTTTATTTGAAATTTACTTGCTGATTTTATTAGCTGCTGTCCTGACCTTTCAGCCAACTTAAGGACTGTTTACATTAACACTGAAAATGTAAACTTGCATGGCCGGAGTGTTTTTCTAAATGATGCTCTTTAGATAGTTTTTCATTTGTTGGATGATAACGACTATTTTCTCTTTTGGCTTTAAAGCTGAAGGAAAGGACTATGGTACAGCTTCCTTCTCTGTTTACAGACCGAGCACCTGCCACATTGCCCAGCCCTGGGCTGGGTTCTTTCTACCCAATCCTATCCCTTTGCCCAGAGACCAAAGTCACATTTCAGAAATATTATTTCCACCTCGTACACTGTTGGTGGGAATGTAAATTGGTGCAGTCACTATGGAAAACCGTGTGAAGTTTTCTCAAAAAACTAAAAATAGAATTACCGTATGACTCAGCAGCTCCATCCTGGGTATATATTTGAAAAAAAACAAAAACACTAATTCAAAAAGATACATGCACCCCAATTTTCCTAGAAGCATTATTTACAATTGCAAAGCTATGGAAGCAAACTATGTGCCCATCAATAGATGAATGGATAAAGATGATGTGATTTATATATATATATATATATATATACACACACACACACACACACACACACACACACACAAAACGGAATACTACTCATAAAAAAGAATGAAAACTTGCCATTTGCAGCAACAGGGATGGACTTGGAGGGCATTATGCTAAGTGAAATAAGTCAGACAGAGAAAGACAAATACTGTATGATATGACTTAATGTAGAATCTAAAAAATACAACAAACTAGTGAATATAACAAAAAAGAAGCATACTCACAGATATAGAAAACAAACTAGTGGTTACCAGTGGGGAGGGGGGCAACATAGGGGTAAGGGAGTGGGAGTTACAAACTATTGGGTATAAGATAGCCTATAAGGATGTATTGTACAACATGAGAAATATAGCCAATATTTTGTAATAACTGTAAACGAAGTTTAAATTTTAAAAGTTGTATAAAGGTAAAAAAAAAATATTTCCACATGTCTACAGATAGAAGAGACCAGATATTAGAGAGTATCTCAGCACAAAACAAAGCAATTTTGACCCTGGTATTCTAGAAGATTCCACCTGTTTTACTTTTGCTGATTTTCCTTCAGGAAAAGTAATTTCATAGTGAAATGCTACAGATATAGGATGGGACACCACAAGTAGAAGATGAACAAAAAGGCTTACCTAGTGAATTTCTAAGTAAGCCCCTCTAGAAGCGTTCTGGGTGGGGAACACTTCATGGAATTTCTCTGCCAAATTGACCCCCTCCCCTGGAAGTCACCGTGGGGGGTCCTTTCCCACGCTGGACTCCTGAGAAATGCAAAGCAGCTGATCCTCTTAAACCAAAGTTTGGGAGCTCTCGCTTAGAAAGAGGTACATGAAACAAAATGAAGTACGTATTTGACCATTACCTGCCGTTCTTTCCAGTTGGAAAATTCGGATCTTCCTTGAGCTATGATGAGATGCCATAGTAATAAGCCAGATTTCTACCTCACTTGGTGTTGTGCATGATGTGCCTTATTAAATATTTCAAACTCACTAACACATGCACTGAACTATTCACTCAAGACCAGAGTGATCTGCTCAATGAAAAACCATTCATATCTTTGAAAAATAAAATGTACTGCTGTACTACAATTGATAATTCCCCTTTTCTGTGTACTTGATAAGTGTCAGGCCCTTCCAAGGTGTTTTTCATATAATATTCCTAATCATGATAAAAATCCAGAGAGGTGAGCATTGTCATACCTATTTCATAGGCGAAGAAACTGAAGTTGAGAAACAGTAACTGACCTGCTCAAACTTATACAGACAGAAAGTGGCAGCACTGGGGTGGAAAGTCATTTCTTATCTGATGCTGGAGTGAGCCCTTTGTTCACTTTACCAAACCTCTCCCATGTTCAAGACCATCAACATGGTCAGTGCGTGCCTGGTTAAGTAAATATGGTACCGAATCCATTTGCCTTGTTTAGAACAACCAGGAGAGAGATGAATTTCATTGACTTGACAGAGGATGAGTGTATTACAATTAGACATGTTTCATGATTCATGGGCCTTATCTTTGGAGAGCATCTTTGACAGGGAATTTGCCTTTTTGATAATGCATAGGACACGGGAGGGATTTTGCCAAAATAACATACTTTCTAGTACTTACCCTTTGCAGGGGGTTTTGATTGTTTCTCTTATCATTACATGGGATATTAACCTGGAGGGTTTACTCTCTTAGCTAATGAACGCTTGGACACAGTGAAATTTTAATTTTCAATCTTGCCAGAAATAAAAGCGTGGCAATGAGACACGTAAATATTACACTTAACACGGCAGTCCTTTCAGTGGCAGGAAAATTGCTTCTTTGTGGTACAAAAGAGACTTTCTATCTGCAACTTGTATAAAATAAGCCCTGATTTGGGGTTGTTTTTGGAGGGCAAAGGGTGATGTTGCCTATCTGATCGCACTTAGTGTTACATTTTAATCTATGATTTTTACAGCCTGACATTGACGTTCAGTTAGCTCAGATTACAAGCGAAGTAATTCCCTCCTTAATGAAGTGTCCCCTGCATGACATATTGACCACGTGAGCTGACAATCATGGCTCTAAAACAGGCCTCGATTACATTTTCTTTTGTCATTGAAAGTAGGTTGTCAGTTAATAAACTTAAAACAAGGCATGCTGACCTGCCATTCTTCCAGAAGTATTTTATTGGAGCATCAGAGAAGCACATACTAACATCAACTATTGAAATGGAGGGAAAGAGTAAAAAATGCATATATTCAGTGTTCTTCAGATGAAGAGCCTTCCCCATGAATTTATACAAGTTCCCCGCCACATTTTTTTTATTTTTTTCCGGTACGTGGGCCTCTCACTGTTGTGGCCTCTCCCGTTGCGGAGCACAGGCCCCGGACGCGCAGGCTCAGAGGCCATGGCTCACGGGCCCAGCCGCTCCACGGCATGTGGGATCTTCCCGGACCGGGGCACGAACCCGTGTCCCCTGCATCAGCAGGCGGACTCTCAACCACTGCGCCACCAGGGAAGCCCTCCCCTCCACTTTTAATTCTGAAAAAAACTTTCAAACCTATAGAAAAGAAAAGTAGAAAACAGAACACCATGAATATCTGTACACCTTTCACCTGCATTCAACTAACTGTTAACATTTTGTCACCATTGTGCGCTCTGTGTGTGTGTGTTTGTATTATTTTAGAGTAAATTCCAGACATCATGACACTTCACTCCTAAATACTTCAGCGTGTATCGCCTAATGATTAGATCATTCTCCCCTATAAGTAAATAACCATTATCACACACCTAAGAAAATGAACAATTCAATAATATAGTCTAACATATAGTTTATATTCCAGTTTCCCCAGCTGTCCCCAAAATGTATTTTAAAGCTGTCTTTTTAAAATGCAGATGTGAATCAAAATTTATACCCTATATTTGGGTGTTAAGCATTTATACAGAATTTTACCAGTAAAAATGAAGGCAGCTTTGATCCACAGTGATCTGAAAGGGCTGGTGATAAAGTATTAGGAATGTTTTGTACCAGAGTATTTCTAATAGATTCTACTTGCAAAGTATGTATCCATCTTAGTGGTCATTTTTTCCTAAAGTATTTCAATCAATTTCCCTCTTTATTATATTTAAATTGGTGGAATGGGGAAATATTATTACTGATTCATGATTTTAAAAATTTCAATCTCGGGGTTCCCTGGTGGCGCAGTGGTTGAGAGTCCGCCTGCCGATGCAGGGGACACGGGTTCGTGCCCCGGTCCGGGAAGGTCCCACATGCCGCGGAGCGGCTGGACCCGTGAGCCATGGCCGCTGAGCCTGCGCGTCCGGAGCCTGTGCTCCGCAACGGTAGAGGCCACAATAGTGACAGCCCCACATACCGCAAAAAAAAAAAAAAAAAAAAAAAAAAAAAAATTTCAATCTCATAGAGCTATTATATGTTTTAGTCTAAGGTTTCAAATAGTTGTTGGATTAAAACCCCAATCTAGAGGATTCATTCCAGCCCTACACAAAAAGGGAAAAGAATCATGAACTTTCCTGCTTAAAGCAAAGTTTTTCAGCAATATGTTTAGAATGAATTATGTTTCAGATAATTGAGTTTTCTTCTAATTTAGACTTCTGCTTCTTCTCTTGAAAGCAAAATGTGTTACAATTAAAAGTGGAAAGAAAAATTAATTTCAAAGAATATTCACTGGGGCAAATGATGGTTTTATTACTGCCATGGACATTCAAAGATCAAGTTTAAGGAAATGTGATTGAACTCAGTGTCACAAATGCACTTGTCATGGATAATTACATGTAGCTAAGGTTTTGTAAAGTGGCTGTATGATTGCTTTAGAGTTGTACTTAAAGGAAATACCGAGAAACTGCATTTTGTGAGTTCGTTTTTGTGGATCTTATGTACTCTATTTTATGTCATATTTTCATCAGCAGTGCAAAAACTATTGCAGAAAATAGAAGAGGGGAACTGTGACCTTTTAAGTTCACTTGGTAGAAGACAGTAACTTTGTTTTCCAAATAGCAAAACGATATTATCCTTTTTCATATTAACTCATAAAAAGGCTTATGTTCAATGCGGTATATTTAAAAACACACCCCCCAAAACCCTTGTCCATTGGTGATTGCTATTGAATTTTAAAATTAGCTAGAATTTTTTTCCTCCAGAGTAGAAAAAAGTTAGTAGAAAAAAGATAGTAGAAAAAAGACATATTTCATCACATCTAAGACATTTTTCAGCTTTTAA